GCTTCCTGAATTGCTCTGGGGGGTTACACCTTGCCACACGCGTGCGGTGCTTCTTGCTCGGGCCGCGTGGCCGGTGCGTCTATCGCCCCCCTTTGCTGAAAGCCCCGCGAATTGCACGTGCTCCTTCTGCGATACCGCATCTGAAGACGGTATTTTATTTAAATTCTTTTGAATAAACCAACATTGTAAAAAATTTTTTAAAAACCCCAAACCTGAAAAGATGTTGGGAATGCCTGTCTGCTTCTCCATCACTTTATTTTTTAGGTAATGTAAACAGTGTGGAAACAACCTCTGGATTTCACTGTAGTAAACGGAACAGCTTAAGGGCTTGCTCCATTCCCGGCTCTGCTGCCGCTTTGAGTGGCGACTTGGGGCAGGCCGTCGTGCTGTCAGGTTTCAAAAAGAAGGCCTCCGGTTTAGGGTTCAGGCACCTGGGGCTCGATTTTTGGTGAGCTTCCCAGGCATTCACAGCCCCTGCGAGTTTCTGCGCAAGGAGTAGGTGCTGCAAATCAGGCTGAAGGTGCCTGAGTGTAAGCCCTTCAAACCTTTAAACTTGACCTTGACACTCTGGGGCTGTTTTCCTGGTGCATGTGGTTATTCTGGGTGAAGATACAACTGAGGAGGTGTTTTGAGAGCCTTAAATGTGTGGCATAAATGTACGAGTTGTAAATTTTGCCAATCATTTATATATTACTATAACGAATACAAGTTTACTTGCTCTGGTGAAAGAGACAATGTTAAATCAGAAGAAATCAGCCCTCACATGATGGAGGGGAGGATGTCGGTTTTGAACTGATCCCTGCTACAGCTCTGCCACAGGAGGACCATCCCGGCAGGTCACTTCATGTGACAGGATCTGGGATTCTGCTGAGACACTTGGTGTGCCTGGGAATGGTTCCTCTGAGAGACAAGCCAGCCTGCCTAAAATGAATCAGCCCCCCAAGCACTGATCTCTGAGGACGGAAGAGGAGTCGCAGGGGAACTCATCTCCTTGCTTGGTTGACTCAGCTACCCAGGGAGGGGGGATGAATTGAAAACTTAGCCCATAAGTGATGAAGATGCTGAAATACTATTGCGTCTGGCTTGAGATGGAGATACTCACTGTTAAAGAAAGCCAGGGCAGGAGCATCTCACCTTGTGTTCCTCATCTGTAGAACAAAGCTTACCTACTTTATCTCTGGCTTGGCATAAAGGCCATAATCTTAATATTGGAAATTAATTTAGCTTTCATTAGGGATGTGCCCCTAGAATCAATTACCATTACATTAAATTTATTTCCTCTGCAGGCTTTTAAAGTATATCAGAATTAACAAGCAAGGAAAAATGAATGAAAAAAAACCCCTAAATTCAGTTATGGAGAAGACATGGTTTAGCAGCTGAGGTGCCTGTGTCTGTACCTGGCAAATTTTATTTCTGCTCCTCAGTGTTCTTGAAAACAAGCAAACAAAAATTAGCTTTGAACTCACAAGTTAAACTAAATAGGTGGCCTCCAGAAACCTTGCTCTCAACTGAGTATTTCTACTTAGGGAAGCTGCCATACAGCACATCAAATTCAGCTGTTGTCATTCCCTTCTGAGGAGCGGCTGTGAATAGCAGCACCGCATGGTCCAGGATACTAGATTGGGGTGAACTGGCAGAAAGCATGGGATGGCTTGGGAACACCTGCGTGCACTCATCAGTGCTCTCAGTCACGCTTCAACACCTCCGAAATAACTCCCATCCTTTTAAAGCAGAAGGCATAGTGTTTTGACTTAAGGGCTCACCCAAGCATCTTGACTTTTCTGATATAAAGAAATGGTCAAGGACTGTGTTTGCTCTCGGTGCATTGGCACCCAGTTCTACAAGCAGGGACTCTCACGGTGTCTCTGGATAGTGTGTCTGTGCGGATAGCCTGTGATTTGTGCCTTCAGAAAGGTATTGGGGCTCAAAACCTGAACACTGAACAAGAAGCTGAAAGATTCATCTTCAATAGGTCCTAATTGCTTATATAAAATAAGGCCATAGTTATATTTGTAATGTAACAAGAAAAGGCAACCTTTTGGGTTTACCATGCATCAACACTGGGATAGATCTTTCACTGTCCAGCAGGTGAAGATGGCTTTCTCCTTTGGCTCACCATGTTTTCCTATGCAGATGTCTGACTGTGGTAGAATGTTGGAGTCGGTATCTTTGTCTTCAGAAAGGTCAGCAGGAGGGTTGTTGTGCGGAGACCATGTGCTCAGCAGATACCACGACAAAAACCACAAAGATGTTTAACATCATGTTTAACTAGCCAGGCAAAAGCAGAACCTACCCCCAGGGCAGGAGGTGCTAATAAAATCCCTTTTCATCTCCCCTTTTTGTTCCCCAACTCCCCCTTTTCCTGCTCAGTGCTGAAGCACTGCAAACTTTGGATAAAGTATAACCACTTAAATAAGATGAGCAAAAAGAATGGCGTAACTGTGATCAAATAGTTGTTGCCCAGTCTTGTTGGCTGCAAGTAGCGCATGGCAAGTCATGGAATTGTACCTCTGGAACTGAGAAGGATGATGTTTATTTAATATTTACTGTGGTTTGAAAGTCGTGTTACGTAAGCACTGTCAGAGTGAGGCTTGTCAAAGAGCCGTGCCCTCTGGCTGCACACCAGGATGGCTGGATGTCGATGGAGCACTTCTGCTGAGTAAAATAGCAGAGCTTTCGAATATCAGCTACCTGCTGAAATGGTTAGCTGAAAGGCACAGATGTATAATCAATGCTCTCTTCCCAAACATCTTCCCTTTCCCCCACCTGTGGCATGCCTGTGTCAGGCGACGTAGGCACTAAGCTGAAGGCCCACCTCCTGTGCCACCGGACTAGTTTTTCTGTAGCTGTGGGTGTCATTATGTTATTGCAAATAATTTCTGTAGAATGATTTCTGCCCATGACACTTCAGCCTCATCCTCAGAAGTGGGAGCCATGTTCGTGAGAAAAAAGAAGGGCCCGACTTGTGTTCTGTATGTCTGTCTGTCCCTTTAACGGAACAGGCATGGAGGGAACAGACCAGTGTTGTACAAAGTAGGACAGAGACACCCTCCTGACTCAGTATCCCACCAGAAAACTGTTGCTGTGATCCCTCTAGAAATGACATCACAGAATTCCATAGGGACAGATATGCTGGTTGGCTGCTGGTGCTGGAAAGCAGGTGGTGAAGCGCTGCAGGGCCAGCGCTACCGAGGAGTTTGTGCAGAGCACCACGCAAGGGGTCGTGCAGTAGCAGGTTTGTGGTGGGATGGCATGCTGCCTCTCAGTCTTGCTGCGAATAACTGGGTTTGACTGGTCTCACCTTCACTGGAGTGGGTTGTCGTTGTTGAAATGAAGAGAACAAATCTGGGATTAAATCAAAGGCAGAAAAGCCAGAATCAAGACCTCACCTTTTCAAAAGCCATAGAAGTTGATTTTTGTGAAAAACTTTTTTTTTTAGTTCTATTCCAAACTACATTGTTGTAAATCTTCTGATCTCTTCCTACCTGTAGTGTGAAGAATTGGCATTTCCCTCCCAGCCAGAGAGAAATGTGTGAGATGCTTTTAGTGTTCCCAAACCTTTGCAATGCAATGAACTTTTGTCTGCCAATCAACTCCAGCATCCTTTGTGAACCCTGGGATGCTTATAACTTAAGTAAGGTCAGCAGATGTTGCCATGGATTTTGTGCTTCACAAGCTAAGGAGGAATTCCATTTGGCAACTGTGTCTGAGATTCTCAGTGATTTACAGCGTTAACTAGACAGTGAAGTTTTTCTGTAGAAGTAACAAGTCCATAGGGACTGAACTAATTGCTGGTTTTCAGCACAATACCCCAGTGTGATCCCTCTTCAGTTCTGCGTTATGGTAAACGTGAGTCCTGGCACCAATCAGTGTTATCTTTTCATCTGGCATTTGGAGCTCTGTTAGTGGTTATTTGTCTGGCATAGTAACATTTGTTGACACTAATTTATAATGAAATTGTTGTTTAAAAAGGGAAAACGGTCTGGTTACCTGCTTCTCTACACTATTAATTTTTTTTTTCCCATTCACACCTATAGAAATGAAAAGTTACTTGATAAGATTCATTAGAAGGTAATGGATGTTTCTGATAAACCTCAAGTACCATTGTGATTTGGGAGAGATTCATTATCCTGTGTTTCTGTTTATGACAGAATGCAAAGTCTGGCGAAATCCTTTAAATCTGTTCAGAGGAGCTGAATATAATCGGTAAGTGCTATGATGTTAGAGTTTCAGGCATAGTACTGGGTTAAGGACCTTAATTGTACTTTTCCATTAATCTAACTCAGAGATGGAAAAACAAAACACCTGTGGACATGTGCTCATACCAGGTTTTTCTGCCATTTGTAAAGTGTTTTTGAATGAAAATTAATTTTAATTCATGCTTGTGCACTTGTCATTCCTGCAATTTTCAGTGATCTTATAAAAAAATTGAAAACCTAAGTGCAGCGTACCTCGTACTGTTAATACAGTAATTGTGCTCAAATTGGTTATAGTGAACAACCTAACGAATTATGTCTAGATTTCATGTAGTCTTAATATCTGAGTATGCGTGTTACTGATTTCCAGTGTGTACTTTCCAACCTCCTCATTAGCTAAGGTTCAGCCACTGTTGCTCCATCACAGTCTGGTGAAATGCAATGTGTGTTGTTTAGGAGTTTGGCTGGGTGAACTTAGTAGGGTATGCCCATCTCTAACATCTAGGAATCTTTTTTAGCTTCCTTTTGCTGAATGTGACCTCATTAACCAAAATGTCTTTTTGTTGGTATGCTTGCAGGTATACATGGGTAACAGGGAGAGAACCTTTGACTTACTACGATATGAATCTTTCAGCACAGGACCATCAGACATTCTTTACGTGTGACACGGATCATTTACGGCCTGCAGATGCTAGTAAGAGACGTTGTGAACGACTGGTTTTGCTAATAGGTTAATGATTGTTTTAAACTGATGCAAGAAAAATGCAGTCAGACATCAGTTCTCTCCAGTAGATAAGAAAAGGCAAAAGTCTAATGATGCCTAGAAAGCTGCTGTTGCTGAATTTGTCGTGTTCTAGGTCTGAACAACTATCTGTATAGTTATGAACTATTAATTTGTGTCCCTATTTTGTTCTGCTCTCTTGCTGAAGTCATTCAGGGTACCATTTGCAAGTGTAAAGACTTGGTTCTTCCTCCTGTTTCTTGCAATGGCTTCAAACATGTATAGCTTAATTTGCCTCCAGCTGCGGTGTAGCATGTTGAGTTACATTGGCCAGGTCCCGTTTAGTCTATGCTGACAGAGAGACCTTACATAAAATTTGAGTCCTGTGTTTCAGTCCAGGACATAGTTAGAAGCTCTGTAAAAAATGAGAGCACATTTACAACTGAACCTAATGTAAGCAGCTTTAGTTGTATTAAGCCTTTGCTGTTAAGTCCACACACAGACTTTGGTCCTGCTAAAAATGTATGGCAATGATTTTGATCATCAGTATTTGCCTCTGAAGAGACAAATTGGTTTTGTCTCTTGGGAAAGGAGAGATACTGACAGCTGAGCACTCCATTCTGAGGGCATAATTACAAAAGAGAACATACTGTGCTTTTTTGACACACGGTAAACATGAATCCTATTTTCTGAACCCCGTTAGCTAATTATGAGTTGGCTTGATTAGCCTGGCTGTTGTTTCCATTTAACATTTACCTAAAGCAACAACACAATAAGGGACTAGAAGAAGAATATTCTATTGTGCCCTGTGGAATCTACTTCCCCAAGAGGAAAAAGCTGCTTGTCACCTCTGTATGTGACAGTGCAGATGGCATGATCTCTCAGCCAGATTCTCCCGTGGAAAATAGTTTAATCAAATGAAAGAATAAAGCTGAGTATTTGGAACAAATGCTCATGTTGATTATGTATCTTTCGAGTGATCACTGAGCTCTTTGAAATGCTCTGGAGTGAGGCAGGCTGAGAGTAATAAATTCAGTTGTTACAATGCAGTAGATTCTCCTTGTTAATGCTGTAATGACTGATATGGCACTGTTCTGCTTTTTTTTCTATTGAATAGTAATGCAAAAAGCCTGGAGAGAGAGAAATCCCCAAGCCCGAATTTCTGCAGCACATGAAGCTTTGGAATTGAATGAGTGAGTGACAGCATCATTAACATTTATTTCCTGTCATTTAAAAATCCATTTGATGACAGCTTAAGGCAGAGGGGTTGCTACAGTAATTTTTAACCACGATTACAGGCCTGTCAGAGGAAGGCCTACAATGGGAGGAAAAAAGCACAGCTGCATGTTTTGCTTGCTAGCCACCCAGAAGATCCTTAGGGCAGTGATGACAATGGGAGCCTTCCCATTAATGTCAGCGGGCTTTGGATCAGCATAGCAAAGTGTTAATTAAGTTGCCTCCTGATGAGCATATAAAATACGCATTTATGGGATAGAGAGATCCCTTTTGGATTTCTCAGTCATCCTGAACAGAGGCAAGAAAGAAGGGACTCATAAACACCTACTGAAATACTCATTTCATAGTGTGAGGAAATATGATGTAATTTTTTTGGGGACTTCTGGTCTTTGAGTCCATAGTTTATTTTCTCAGTGAGAAGTGTAGTATTCTGAGATCCCACAATAAACTCAATGCTGTGATGCTTTCCTGGCATGGCAAACTGTGTAAGTGTTGCCAAAGTGCATAAAGCGGAGAGAGTCCCTTAGGTTGCTGTCAGAGATTACCGCATTCTAGAATTCCATAAACTGGTGCCTTATGGATAGTCCTTCATGTGTTTCATCAGGAGACAAAGAATCGTTTGCTCCTGGACAGCAGTTCAGCTGGGAGAGCATGTAGCATGAAAGGCTTTTGCAGAAGTGAGCTATAAGCCTCTCCTCTTCTACTCACATATCACAGAGTGGCTGAGGTTGGCAGGGACCTCCGGAGATCATCTGGTTCAACCCCCCAGCTCAACCAGGGGCACCTACATTGCACAGGACCATGTCCAGACGGATTTTGAATATCTTCAAGGAGACAGACTCCACAAACTCCCTGGGCAACCTGTGCCTGTATTCAGTCACCCTCACAGTAAAAAAGTGTTTCCTGATACTCAGATGGAGCCTCCTGTGTTTCAGTTTGTGCCCAGTGCCTCTGGTCCTGTTGCTGGGCACCTCTGGGAAGAGCCTGGCTTCATCCTCTCTGTGCCCTCTCTTCAGAGATTTACAAACACTGATGAGATCCCCCCTGAGCATTCTCTTCTCCAAGCTGATCAGTTTCAGCTCTTTCAGCCTTTCCTCATATGTGAGATGCTCTGGTCCCTTAATCATCCTCATGGCCCTTCGCTAGACTCTCTCCAGTATGTCCATATTCCTCTGGGAGCTCGGAACAGGACACAGCACTCAACGTGTGGCCTCAGGTGCCGAGTAGAGGGGACAGATCATCTCCCTCAGCCTACTGACGACACTTCTCCTAATGCAGCTCAGGATACCATTCGCTTTCTTTCCTGCAAGGGCACATTGCTGGCTCATGGTCAACTTGGTGTCCACCGAGACCCCCGGGTCCTTTTCTGCTAAGCTGCTTTCCAGCTGGGTGGCCCCCAGCAAGTACTGGTGCCTGGAATCTTGTTTTCACCTAGGCCTGTTGTTTCCTGTTCCTCAGCTGCTGACTTTGTGAAACACAACTAGAGGCGGCTGCAGCCCAATTCTGTTGCTATATAAAGAAGAATCTTAGCAGCAGCGTGCTTTGTATCAGAAAGAAGTCAACAGGCTGTATCCCACCTAACTTCAGCAGCTAAAACTGTGGCCATGGAATTTAAAGTAGTTGCTTGGGCTCCCTGTGTAGTCAGAGGGACACTTCCTTTCAGCAGTTTGCACTATTCCTAGGGAGACCTTTAAACGTGTGAAACAAATGGCTTTGTGAAGATGCTCCTTGATGGAGGCAGAGGGGCACAGATAGTTAAGAGATTTAAATTAGGCAGCTAAAAGCTGGATAACTCCCTTTCTGCCTATTCCTAAAGCTGCTTTCCTGTGGTTGGGTTTTTTTTTTTTGGTGGGGGGTGGTTAGGGCTGTTTTGTTAATCTCTACAATTACATTCTTTTTCTTTTCTTTATATATGTCAGCTGTTATAGGTGTATTGATTCTTTTCGTACCATTACAGTAATGGAGGCATTCTGTGTTAAACCAACAGTGCATAAGCTAGTCTTGGTCTCCGGAAGGAGTTTTAGGGATGTACGCCGTGCTTGCTTAGTGAGACAGTGCTTTACTTCCTGGGGCAGTTGTTTAATGAGTGGCTGAGTGATGCAGTACCTACAAATGAGAGTCATGATGTGGTTGCCAGAAAGGTGTACGGGCAAAACCCCATTGCCTCAGTATTTGGTACATCCTTGCCAGTCAGCATATCTTCATGCAGCTTTCTCGTGGTTCTTCCTTTGGTGTTTTTGCAGGTGTGCTACTGCCTATATTCTCTTGGCTGAAGAGGAAGCAACAACAATTATAGAAGCAGAGAAGCTGTTCAAGCAAGCTCTGAAAGCTGGAGAGGGCTGTTACAGGCGCAGTCAGCAGTTACAGCACCATGGTGCCCAGTACGAAGCTCAACACAGTAAGTTTCTGTGGAGGGAATCAGCTGTTTCTAAAGGGAGAGAAGTTTGGGAGGGTTCTTTGGGTTTTGGTTGGATTTTTTTCTTCCCTTCTCAGCACTATGTACTCAGTATTTAACATTGGTTGGAACATGGCCCTAGAGCCAGACTATTCTGTTTCAGGGGTTTTGGCTGATGCTGTGGTTGAGCTAGCAATGCTGGGGTCGGATTACAGACGCACCTTTTCTTTGTTGTGGCAGAAAATACTGTAACATGTATTTAACAGAAAATAGAAGGCAGCAGAGCCAAAAGAGCTGATGTGCAGAAAATGCTGGACACCATCTTAGGAAGTTGCACTGAAGTGCCTTTAAACATTTTGAAAACATGGGCTCGTGTTGTGAAAAGGCAGTAAAGAATGGTGGAAACAGGAGCGAAGTGATGCTTTGCCAGCTTTTTTCAAACAGCTGTGAGGGTAAATACATACACCACTTTGTTCTGTATAAAAGTTAATGAGACCCGTTAACCAGTGTGACATTCGAAAAGTTAGTTGCATACATTAAGAAAGGTCACAGAAACATAAAAATTAATGGCTGGAATAATAGTGCTGAAATTGAAAGTCTAGGTTTTCTTTTTTTTTTTTTATTTGAATAAGCAGATTTAGCAGCTTTGATGATACTTATTATATGCTTTTAAACCTAAGAAAATACCTTAGGGTTCACTGCCAGTAAATGAATTTAAAAAAAAAAATAAAGCGAACAGTCTAGATTATTTCTAGTCTACAATGGCTGCCTCAGGCAAATATAATAGCAATTAATTACGTAAGTACAAGCACTAGCATACTTTTAGCATCTCCCGGTTGCTCAGGACCTGAATTCACAGCCTCTGGCTACCCCACATCATTACATCATTTGAAGATTGCTGATAAAAATTGTACACAGTGAAATTGTCTGTGATCTCTCATTTCAAAAGCGTACGCAAGTCTATACCTGAAAACCTGAGGTTTTCTAAAGCTTGGGGGTAGCATTTTAAACGTTTGCTGGTTATAAAATGCTATTTAGGATGATTTGCCTATTTTTGGAGAAAATAAAAATATAGAGCAGCTGAGCCCTTGAAGCAATTTTCAGGCTCTAGCAGGCTTATGGTTGTCTGTGAAACCTTAATTTGTGCACTCAATCCATCTTGAGCACAGAAAACGTCAGCAATTCTATGAAAAATGCACAATAAGAGTAATGAAACACTGTCACGATGCTTATGTCCGAGATAACCTGTTTAAGTTTGTGCAGGCAAATATAGGTATGGTATTTTAGAACCTGTGTGTGCTAGGTGGCTACTGTCATCATCATATTTGACACGCTGAGCCTTCAGTATGAAAGCAGAGGAAGCAACTAGTTGAATTGTAAAATGAAGTGCTTTGCCACAGAGCTGGAGGGGCTGAACAGTGACTGTGGCTTCAGCAGGGGCTAGACACCTCTTTATACCACCCAGCCTCCCCTTGATTACATCACTGTGCACCCACAGAAGTTAGAGAAGTTCCAGCCTCAGGTGGTGCCTTGGACACAGGGGCTTCAAGTAGGATTCTCTTGACTCTCTCTGCTGGACTTCTGGATGGTTTATAAAGGTGGAGAGCTCAGATCTCTGTAGAGAGAAAAGACCATGGGCAGATGTGGTGCAATTACTCCATGGTTCTGAGATGTCTGTCATTCCATTTCTGGTCCTTGAAGTTGACTTTGGGACAAAAAGTGGGCATTTCATCTTTTACAGGTGAAAAACACCGTGTAATTTCTTGAACAACGTGTTGCTCTATGTTTCTGTTTATTCATGCATTCCGTCTCCTTCATACAGTGTTCTGTGTTAGACTATGAATTTTAAGGGTAAATAATGACGGAGTACCCAACTTAAACCTCCTCCAACAGGTGCTAGTTTATAGAAAGCGTGGGCAATTCTCTCTTTAAGGTGGCTGATGTTAGACACTCCAAATCATCTGTCACCTCAGAAAATTTTGGCCTGAAAGGTTATCTTGATTTCGTAGTAAGTAAATGCCTTTTGACTGTTCCTTCTGAAAAGGAGCTGGCCCTGAATTGTGTGCCTCTTAGTTAAACTACACAGACCGGTTGAAACAGATGTACCTAATAAATTGTTTATTAAATACATAGGAATCAATACAGAGATAAGGAATTACATAATATAAGATGCAGCTAAAGAAATTCCTTCCCTCCCTTATTATTTTTCCTTCTAAAGTCAGACCTTTCTAATCTGTCTGAAAATTGTAATCCCAGCTTTAAAACAATTTGCAGGTACCTGGAATGTTTTCAGTGAACATCTTGTTCTTATTATGAAAGATCTGAAAAGGTTAGGAACAGACTAAAATCTTTACAGGCTGCATACTAAACGCAAAGATAATTTGTAGCAGGTGCCTTATATTTTCACGATATGATAATTTTATAGACACTTAGCTGTCCGTGCATTTCCTGTTGGTCCAGGAGCTTGTGAAGGGTTCACATTGGAATTATAGGGAAGAGAATGAGAAATGAAATGAGTAAGAATTCTCCAAGAGAATTAATTATGGCGGCTGTTTAGTTTCTGTCATCCTTATTGTTAGAGCATCTTCCAGCACACAGGATTGAGCTGGAACATGGTAATTTGCCATCCATAATTAGTGGTGTGAGGAATTTGAAGATGATAAGTGGGTAACAAGTAAAGGCTCTGGAAACAGAAGGTTCGGGGTATACTTCTTTATAGAATCATAGAATGGTTTGGGTTGGAAGGGACCTTAAAGATCATCTAGTTCCAACCCCCCTGCCATGGGCAGGGACACCTTCCACTAGACTCTTTACTTCTAATTGTTAAGGAAAAGGACCGTTAGAGGATGAGGACTTGTTTTGCTACATCTCTTGTTAACAAGCATGTACATCGTAACTTGCAACAAAGGTGGGATATAACGTGCCTTTTCATGGATGCTCATCTTAACCATGTATGTGATTTGGCAAGTTGATGCTGTGTCTGTGACTACAGAGTTTTGTGCCCATGTTACCTTCCTAGGGGTTCTTCTTGGTTCACCTGATTCCTTGAAGGTCGATACCCTGTAACGTTCGCTGTACCTCTGGATCTGCTTATATTTCATACGTCTGAGGCCACCCCATGTGTCCTTACGTATACCACTGTATATCTGGAGAAACTCCACTGATTTCACTGATGTTACACCACATCTAAACCAGCAGAATTTTGTAATTTTTTATTAAAATTATTGTGAAAGCATTGATGCTAGCGAATAACAGAACATGGCAAGAAAACTACGGTTTCTTTTGTGGTGGAATATCAAATGAACTTTTTCTTTATCTCTTGTATCTTAATACTGTTTCTTTTTCTTCTTATACAGGAAGGGACACCAATGTGTTAGTTTATATAAAGAGGAGGCTGGCAATGTGTGCAAGAAAACTGGGAAGGACCAGGGAAGCAGTGAAAATGATGAGAGATGTGAGTTTGGATTTGTTTCGTATGTGATACTTAGACGATGGTAGTATGGAGATAATACACGTTTGCTTACAAGTTAGCGTCCATTCCTGATGCATGCAGCACTGCTGATAGTAATTTTGTGTGTGTAATGTACATAAAAATTAAGTTAAGAGATCATTTATAAGGTTGTGAAAGCAACACTGTGACGTCATAAAATACGAGACAGGCAGTTGCCCATACAGACTGAATTTCCCATCCTGGTACATGTGTAACGGAGTACAGTTTTTAATTATTTGATCATGAAGTTACATAACATTTTTCTGTAGTGTGTAATGAACGCCCCTAACTTAATAAACAGGTCTCAAGTATTCTGTTTCCTCCTTGCACAGCTGCAGTTTGGCCCTGTGCATTGTTCACGTCGCACTGTTCAGACCTCAGGATAGGGTTATTTATTCATGCAAAACCTATTACTGCGAAGTCAAAACCAAGTAATCAATCTGTAACGAACTGAGATGGGATATGATTATATCCCTGTTTTGTAGGCAGGGCAGCTACCAATGGTAGTCCTAAGACAGTAAACTACAAAGCTACAAATTTGAAACACCAAACAGTAGCTGTTTTGGGGTAGCAGGAGGGGCAGCTCTCCACATAGGGCACAGTATGTGTTCAGGTATGTGAAGTGCTTGAGTTTAGAGACAACTGCAAATGCCCAGCTTTTCCCTAAGTGAGATCCTCTGGATGCTGATTAAGAACCCATTTCTTTGAGGAGGGGACTTGCCTCACCCGAGATAGCAAGTCTGTGACAGAAAGAGGAATGGAGCCCTAGAGCTCTGGGCAGATGATAGTAAAACTGCTCACCAGTTTCCTGTGTTCGCCTTTCTTATGCTCTGTTTTCCGTCTCCCACAAAAGTGAGGTAGAGGTGAATCCAGCAAGATAACAGAGTTCTGGAAGTTAAGCTCAAGGACCTAAATTTTAAATGCATAAAGTGAAATCCCAGACCAGAATTAAGCACCTGTAAAGTGTGCTTTAGGCAGCTCAGATGAATGGTCCCGAAATCTGCTTAGTGAAAAGGGAAATTCCTGCTCCAAGTCAGTGGGAGTCTTAAGGTAAAAAGGCAGGTGACTTTCTCTGGAGCTTAGGCAGTTCCATCAACGGTAGTAGGGCAAGTATGTCTGCCAGCTTGGAATGTGATCCAGCATCTGCTCCTGGAACTGGGGCGCTCATGAATATTTCTTGGAAATGTTGAGCAGAATTCATTGTAGTAATGCAGGTCCTCACCCTAAATAATCTGCCAGATGGCAAGTGGTGAGTAACTTTGTTTCCTGTCTCTAGCTGGGGTTTTTCAGGCACGCAGGTCTCGCTTGCCGGAATCACTAGGCTCTCAGACAGAGGTGTTGAAAAAGAACTTGTCAGAACCCCAGCCATTGTACAGCGAGGGGTGTGAGAAAGAGGAACGAGGAAGAAAAACCTGGTTTTGCAGTCTTGTGGTCAGCTGGGAGAATGCTGATCTCAAAAATGTTGTTTTCAGTCCAGTCAGCTCCATTGATTCGTCATGAAGTTCATTACACAGGCACTCTGGGACAAATACTGAAATGTTTGGGGACAAACACTGGAATTCTGAGTTCTGGCGTTAATATACAAGAAAGGTCAAATTTTGAATTTCACGTTCAAATGTCACACATCATAATTATGGCAACTTTTGGAGCTGCTGAATGTGTTTTGAGATTTGTAGGTAGGGCTATGTGGAACAGATACTGTGTGAAACCTTCGTCTGGCGGTGTCAATACGTATGGTGAACTGTGTAAGCAGAGCACAGGATTCTGGGACTTGAGTAATCTATGCAGTTCCAGGTTTCCTATGCAAAGTGACATTCAGAATGCTTTGATTGTAAAGAATGGCTTATTCTGTCACTAGAGAGACAATTTGGTTATAGTACAGTGCAGGTCTGGAAAGGGAGCAGTGATGGGGAGACCCAAAGTCATCGTTCGATAGACACCTGAAAGACAGAAAACACTCTCTGCAAGAGGAATGTTTTGCTAAAATGAGAGGACTGGATGCAAGACAAAGAAAGTATAAAGATAGAATTTCAGCTTCTAGAGCTTCAACTCAGATCAATGCAGCCTGTGTTTTTCCACAAACAGACACTGAGCCAAATTCTCAGAACTGAATTTGGATGCCTCTTGAGCTCTTCGCTGTGAGCAAGCAGAACTGAGAGTCAGCAGGTCCCTAGATGGAATGTAAAAGCAGTAGTATCTCTAGGTCTCAACTCCAGTGCACTGGGAGCAAGAGTAGGGTCCAGGCAGCTTTGCAGATTCTTTCCTTAGACTGACTTGGAGCTACTTATTTCTGATGAATGCATATCCTCCATTTCTTCATAGAAGACATAAATAATATACTTAGGAAGAGGTTTGAAGAACATCAATGTGTCAGTGAAGGTTTCTATGTGATTGATGAGGGAGGAGATGAATTTATTCACCCTAAAAAGAATATGAAGAATATGTTGGATGGGGACTGCTGAATCTAGCATCAGGGGACAGAGGGCGGAGGCCCTGTTTGTGTTTGAAAGATTGAAAACAGATTTCTCAAGACATGGAACATGATGGAAATGAAGTGTTAAGAGGTTCATGACACCATCTGGGAAATATGATTGGGATGTAGTGAGTCTTTGCCACTTTGAAAAAATAAAATATTTGAGAGTGTTTAATTCATTGCATGTATGAGGCCATCTTGAGGACATTACTGGTGGATTAGATTGTCTTACTTGGATTTTAAGTAAGAAAAGACTGAGATCCTGCTAAAAACAAGAAAAAAATGACTTGGTGACTTAAGTAAGAAATTTGATTTTATAGTGTTTAACACTGCTGATAGGAAAATCATATTCTTTAATACTATATTGAAGATATTTAAAACAATTTTTGGAAACTGTTAAAAAAGCTGTTTAAAACTGGGGAGGGCTAATTAAGAAAAATTGGGTAGGAACTTCTGTTGCTTCTGTGATTGGTTTTGAGATAATACTTTGTTGATGGCTGTGCTGCTTGGTTGTCATTCGTTTAGTTGAGCTGAATTAATGAGAATTATGAACCTGTAATTTTCATGGAAGCATGTGATTGAATCATGCATAGGTGTTGCTTTTGCTTGTATCTCTGATGATAATTATTTACTATATTTGCCATAGAAACCAGCAGCTGTCGCTATTTGTATATGTTGAGTTAACTTGTGATCTCATTTTGATTAGTGTATTGTTGGAATAACTCCAGTGTAGTCGAGTTACTCCAGTTTTATTCCTGTTTCTACAGAGCATGATGTGGTCTGTAAGGGAACTCTTTTACTGTCCCTAAGGAGAAAGTCTACAGTGCTGGTTGTTTTATTTGTTGTGCTGATTATGTTAGGAGGATTTGAACTAGTGTGTTGCAAATGGTGTTGGAAAATCTGGCATACGCAGAGGTGAAAGTCCTTAATGGTGGCTGTGGGGAATCTTGAGTATCCCTTCAGGCTGAATCTTTATTGTGGACAATGTTCAAGCCTAGTAGCTACATGGTGATGAGTAAGGGTGACCTTTTGTGCCAGCTCCTCGCCCTCTGCTGATTCCCTCATCATTGCATTGGAAGAAAACAGAAGTGTGGTTTGTGTTTTTCATCCATTAAAAATGGAGAGGGTGTGGAGAAGGTGCAAAGGCGCTTCCCTCTGTGGGCGACGGGATCGGTGACTGTTCTGTGGGATTCAGGAGCAGACCAATGCGGTGTTTCCCAGGTCATTGGAGTATCCAGGTGAAAATGTGCCAGGGAAGGTAGTGAATTGTCAAATTAAGCTGCGCTTCTTGGGATTGATCTGGAGAACAGTTGAACTGTGGAGCAAGCTTTCATTGAAGGGTGATGCATGTTTGGGAAAGAGAAGGGTGGCAGGCAGAAGGCGTGCTAGTGGACAAAGTGAACAGAAGCTCTTAAGCGCTTCCTCTTTCAGACAGAAGATGAAAGAAACTCATTCTAGAGTGTCTTTATCTCCTACCTCACGGCCCTGCACTTCCCTGAAGACTGCTTTATGTCTTAACAAGTATGTTTCTGAGACAAGGTGCAATTGCAACTTGCCCCATGCTTTGCAGCTGTGTTTAGAAACAAGTGCAGTTTAGGGAGAGAAGAGACTCTCCAGGAGGTCTTTCCTCAGCTCTGGAGAAGGATAGAGACCAAAATGCTTTTTAAGGGTCAGAAGAGTACATTTTATTTCTGGGATCAGTCATATCTGCTAAGAAATTACTATCGAGATCACAGTAAAGGACCTAGAAATCATTTTCTATGTACCTAGCTCTGAGAACCTTGCTGAGGATGTTTCAGTTGGATGTGTTTATGTGTTCGTCTCGGTGCCTACTTGCAGCATCTAAATGCGTATTTAATGCCACTGGAGACACTAAGGAGTTACCAGCCCCTGAGCAGCGTGTATTGTTAGTGCTGCATGCTTATCGGTGGGCTGCATGGGAAGTTGTTTAAACATTCAGACTGCCCTGAGCATTTAAAATGGTTTTAAGAGGTTATGTCACTTGAAGGCTTCAAAAGGGCACTCAACCATACCAAATCATTTTTGATGATACGTGTAGGTTGGGTTTTTATCCTTTTATAACTGGCTGTCTTAATGATTTTTGGTAGTATAATGGTTCTGCAAATCTAGCATACTTTCTTGGCAAAGTCTTTTGCTCTGCTTTGAATTAGGTTTTCTGTTCAATATTCTCTTGAACTCTGTATTCTTGTGTGCATTGCTGATTTGCTCTTGGGCAGTGGGAATACATAGCCAGGACAGTATTCTGCACCTTGAATTATCAAGCTGCATGAAACAAAGAGAGTGCTAATTGCTAATAAAGATGTTACGATCCCTAGCAACTTAACAACATAAATTCTGCAGCTACTTGCATCAGGCTACTGTGTCTCTCCCAAATACTTCCGTGCTTGAGGCAAGGATTAGTGAGTCAGGTTCTTTGGCTTGTGTTACACAGGTCAGGTTAAGCAGGCTGCTCTGCCTGGAGTGGGATTCT